TCCTGAACCTGCCATTGGTGCTTGGTGCATTTCCAGGATTGTATTCACCATAAACATCATAAAAGGAATAACACATTAAACATTACCAACATACAGGGAATGATTCACTGGACTCGAGTAAAGTAGTAGTATGAAAGTTGGTCTGATTGGGTTATTTCTCTTATGAAATTGGATTTTTTTTTTCATTTTTCACACATTGACATCTTAAAAGCATGACTATATGAATTTCCACGAGCCTTTATCATTATATTGGTTGCTAATACTTTTTTTTTTGGGGGGGGGGGGAGAGAAGTTTAATGCCATTACTTATTTTGTCATTTATATCAGACATGATTTTGGATTTTAAGAAAAAAGTAGGAAGAAAGGCCAATTGCCTTATGATCAGGGGTATGTGGGCTGCTCATTGCAATGCTGAGGACATTCTATTTGGAGCACTTTTTATTTGCATTGCTTATATTTTCATTTTTAATAAGAAAGTATTTTTGAGCAATTATAAGTTTAAAAAAGAAACAAAAGATACTCTTCTTAAATACTTCAGTGTAATTTCAATGTATGTTCTTTTTATTTGTAGGTTTGAAAAATAATAAGATAATTTTCCTTAAACAACTTTTTATTTCAACTAGTCTGTACAAATGAATAAATTTTAATTGTGCTTAAAAGATGAAGTATCTTTATACAAGGCTCATGATCAGTTACAGCAAACCTGCTCTTTGAAATAACCTCTGCTGTATTAATTTTAAAGAAATATCCCAGCTTATTAAGTCAAACAATTCAATGATGCTAAAAAGAGCTGCTCTTAAAGATATCAATTTTTAATTCTTATACATGTCAACAACCCATAACCCTTAATGTCCGTTGCAATGGTTTATAATTAACCAATAATCAAATAAAGATTGCTGATAAACTGCACATACTACTATTTGATTTGTGGTCCTTCCAAAAATGATGACAATAAATGATAAAACAGAGATAAAAAAATAAATTACAAGGTGGTTCAACTCCCAAACAATAAGTGCATTTAGTATGTAGGCAAGTCCTTTTTTTTTTTGCATGTAAAGTGCACTCAAATTAATATGTCCTAAATCAAGAGGGGTTGAACCCCCAAGATGGAAGTTCACTGGGTTCATTGAAACTCTTACACTTTGTCCTTTTCACACATAGTACTATATATATATATATATATATATATATATATATATATATATATATATATATATATATATATGCTCCAGGTAACTACATATCTTGTCTTTTTTTCGTCTCAAATGAAATATAACAGAGGTGCTGAGCTATCTCATGCACCCGTTCAGCCCATTTTAGTGGGCATCAAAAGGCTCACCACATCAGCACATTATTAAGATCAGCACCTGAGTGTACTATATGTCATGGGCACATTTGGAATGAAGAAAGCCAAGATACATGTATGTAGTTACTTGGTTCACACAATTTTACATGAACTGTGTGTGAAAAAGACAAAATGTCAGGGTATTCATCTTGGGAGTTCAACCACCTTGTAAATGTGACCCAGGTGATGAGATACTGAATGGCCTCGTTTTAGTGTGCACTGGAAGACTCACAAAATATGTTACTTGAGTTGCTTTCAGTTTAAGAAGGACCACAGTAGTGGTTCAAATCTGTCATTTACTTCAGTCATTATCATCATCTTACAAGACAAAGACAAATAATGTCAAGCTTGTTTTTCTTGAACTAAACATCCTTCAATAGGAATTGACTACTGGAACTCTACGTTATGTCTTGTTACTGTCCATGCTTGCACCTTCCTTGGATGCCAGTTCTTTTTCCTTTTTCTCTTTCATTTTTTCATGTTTGGCAAGCAGTTCCTTCTTTGCTGCTTCAACATGCTCCTCAAAATTCTAAAAGAAAACCAAGAATGTTTGTAAAACATACAAAAAGCTCATAACATGCATAAAACCAATACTGGTTATCCATTCTTGATAAAATTAATATCATTTAACATTAAAGTTACATATAAAGCCCATTCTTTACCACTAAATCATCATCATATCTGCATGTCCATGTTACTGGGTAACAACAATGAGACATGGGCCTCAAAATTTCAACATGGCACACGTTCAAAATATTTGTCCAGTAAATAAACGAAATTTTACCACTGAAGTTGGAAAAAAATGTTAACAGAGGTTTTTCGACTGAATCTGGTCCAGTTATGGGCCAATATAACCCAGATAATTTCCCACCGGAATCCACCCATGGCAATCCAAAATGGCTGGGTATTTAAGTGGGTATAACATGGAAACTGGGTAACTTAGAGACTTGAGAGAGGTGTCATTTCTATAATGTTCAAAGGTATGATCATTCATTTAAAAAAAAATTTGGGTCATCAGAGGTCAAGGTCATGCCTTAATGTCAAGGTCAATCTAAAATACAAATTAAAATACAACATCAACTTTCTTTTTTCTTTCAAAAATGAACTTATGGTTTTTTCTAGCACCCACTGAGAACTGCATTAAACAGACCACCTTTGTGAATGTTGTATTTAACTAACCAATGTATGCTTCTTAATTAGTGTACAACAGTTTGGGAAAAATGATTGTGATATTATGTGTAAATATGACTGATCATTTGTCTTTTTTAAAATAAGATATTTTTTTAAACTCATTCTTTTTACTGCCTTCAACCTGAATTGGTAATAAAATTTTTAAAAAATTACCCGACATCACCACTCTCTTGTTTTATATCTGTTTTACCTGAATTTTCCACACCTAAATGATTAAGTAAGGAATAAACTCCTTCCTAACCAAATTAAGTACTTTGATAATGTATTATTTTAAGTTACATAGGTAACATATTTTATTCATGGTGTGTGTGTGTGTGTGTATGTGTGGGTGTGACAGGCATGATTGAAAGTCAGGTAGATTTTAAATCGGCCTAGGCAAAATTGAAATACTATGCTAAAGGTACTATGTGGTCTTAGGTATTAAAACAGAACACATTTCATTGATATTAATATCATAATGATTTCAATTTAGAAGACAGTACAGCCATACTTTCATGTTTTAAAGGTTAGTGAACTACTTGGGCAAGTTGTACAGTTAGGTATTTTATATCACTGTAAAGTCTGTATCCTCATCTTTTTAAAAGAGAGTACAAGACAAAAAAAAAAAAAATAATAATAATAAATAAAATAAAATAGCATGGGGTATAGAAAACTGAAATTAATATTCTAAGGATATTTCTTCTCTGCCAAACAAAATAAAATTCTCATGGTTTCAGAATNCCGTCTAGGAGGAGAAGCGGTAACGGTGACTTGGCGGCGGAGCCGCAGGAGCCGGCGGAGCCGCAGGAGCCGGCGGAACATACGGGTCGGGACTAAAACCATGTGTACCGCCAGCGCCTACGCTGGTGGTACAATAAAAAATTTCCCGAGGTCACCACTCTCTTATTTTATCTGTTTTACCTGAATTTTCCAAATGATCAAGTAAGGAATAAACTCCTTTCTAACCAAATTAAGTACTTCGATAATATATTATTTGAAGTTACATAAGTAACATTAACATATATTTTCTTAATGGTATGTGTGTGTGACAGGCATGACTGAAAGTCAGGTAGATTTTAAATCGGCCTAGGCAAAATTGAAATACTATGCTAAAGGTACTATGTGGTCTTAGGTATTAAAACAGAACACATTTCATTGATATCAATATCATGATTTCAATTTAGATGACAGAGAAGCCATACTTTCATGTTTTTAAAGGTTAGTGGTTTACTCAGGCAAGTTGTACAGTTAGGTATTTTATATCACTGTATCCTCATCTTGTTAAAAGAGAGTGTAAGACCAAAAATATAGTATGGGGTATAGAAAACTGTAATTTATATTCTAAGGATAATTCTTCTCTACCAAACAAAATAAAATTTTCATGGTTTCAGAAGTCAATTAGTAGTCTAAACCTAAACTGTATAATATGTGAAAAGGTTCAATTTCACTCGCATTCAGAAATCCTAAATTGGTCAGCACAATACAGTGTTGTGGATAAGGTTCACTATCAGAGCATTTTACAGGTCCAAAGAAAATGAGTGAAGTAAAGCAAAAAGGAGTCAAGTCCCTCCCCCCACAGAAAAATCCATCCCTTTCTGTGTATCACCGATATCATAGCAAGTTATGCTACACCTTGATACTACTTTAGTTATTGACAACGTCTGATGATGTTGGAACAATCAAGTGACAAGTACTATTAAACAATATATATAAGCGTGTCCACTTATTTTGCCATCAGTAGATAGGGACAGAATGGACAGTGTCGAGGGAGGAGTTGTGCCCACCTTGGGTGGTAAAATTACATATAGCACAATGATATTGCATCACAATCAAGTTAAAGGTAATGTAAATAATAAGATAAAAAATATGTTTTCTGTCAAACTAAAAAAAAAAAAAAAAACCTTCTTATGCATTTGGCAATAGTCCCCTTCCCTTTCCCCCCGACACCCAGATAAAGCATACTGTACATCTACCTTAACTTTTATACAACGAAATGAAATATGCATAGAATTAAATGGAGAAACAACTGGCCCACAGCAGGAATAGTGGCCAATAACTCTACAAATATACAAAATTTTACAAGCCCCAATTCAGTTTTACTGGCACTTGGAATGGGGCCCAGTGTCAATGTTGTAGAGTGCCAAAAAAACAGAGCAAGTTTTAAGTTATTGCACAATGTCACACCTAGCACATTGCCACAGTAAGGGAGCATTCAGAACCAAACAATATTTTCTTCTCACCTCCAGTGGTTTGTAATAACTGTGTACTATTTGAGCCCCAGCAAACATAGACAATAGCCCAGCACTGAGCAGCTTGATATACTGGCTTGTGCTCATCTTGGCTCGTCTTGTTCCACTCCAGGGTAATCAAAATAACTGTGGTGTCCTCACTAACTATAATGATGCAAGACTGCTGACTGTTTTCTCCCTGTCAAAAGCAGATCTTTCTGCGCAAGTACAATGCAAGTCGTTTCTTCACTCTTTTCTTTTTGTCAAAAGCAGGTACTCAGCAGCAGATCTTTCTTATATACTAAATCTTTTCCTTATCACAATTGTTTGTATGATGTTTTTTCCAGATTCTATGGGTTCTTCTTTCCCTTTACAGTTTGCTTTTCTTATCAACAGTTATTTTATGTGATCTTCACTGCCCTCAACAGAAAACCTGTATTGAGAAAAATTATCTCCTTGCACTATTTTATAAGATATCAAGTCTTTGATTACTCGTCCAATAGATACATAACATTAATTTTCTCATTGATAAGAAGACGTCTTGCTGCTGCTTTTTTGGCCATTCTTTTTGTCCATATTGAATCTGAAATAGAAAAGATAAGAACAGAATAGAAAGGTTGAGTAACAGGTGTACTTGGAAATATGGGTATTTTTACAGCCTTCTTTTCCCAACATTCGTAAGTCTTTGACTTTTCAAGGGATAACAACTGTTCATTTTGGCCAAAAAATGAAATTTCCTGGGGTAAACAGCATATTTCCCAAACTAACCAATGGTTAATAAATCCATTTCTACATTCAAAGTTAGTCCCTGGTTTTTTTTTCTAAAAAGGTTGTTTTTTTTTGTAATTATCTCTTAAGAGATTATTACAGAGTATAGCCACCTATGGAGGTCACTTAGTCAGATGGCAAGCACATATTTCAGATTTATTGCTATAACTGTCATCTTGGTGATAACATAGGATATATTATATTTCTATAAGTTGTTTACAATGTATTTATTTTGAAATATAGATCTCATACGAAGTGCTGTTATCCCTTTAATGTTTGTCTTAATTTAGTCAAGAAGTGAATTTGATCAGATGTTCAATTTATCAATTTTGTAATTTACTTATAACTTTTTGAAGTTTCTTTTTAATGAGAAAATTTCAAACACTTTGACCAAAAAGATTACAGCCAATTTTCACCTCTTATGTGACCTCAGCTGTCACAGGTTTTTGAATGCAACTTATTGTTCAAGATTTTTTGAATGCACTTCAAGTTTCTCCTAAAAATAAATAAATAAATAAATAAATAAATAAATAAATAAATAAATCAGTTTTAGGTGTATGTTACACTTACAAAAGTTAACTTCACCAACTTTCAGTTTTATCATAGTGAATTCAAGCATAGCCCCCACGAGGAAACAAAGAGGGAGAACACTGTACGCTCCAAATCTCCTTCTGCCAGGGAGGGAACGGAAAAAACTGCGTAGCAAGCGCGATCTTAACATTTCCCACTGAAATTTAAGAATTCAACGTGAAAAGGCAGTGCTAACCATAAATGAAACATAACGTAATCATTGCATTGCAGACTTTATAGCATTGCATAATGCCTCGTCTCGAAGTTTTACAGGTATGTTACTATACATAATTACACACCAAAACGAGGCTTTGTTCAGGAGTGCGCCAGGTCTTTGCATAAGTGCATTTTACTGTTCTTTAACGTGCATGTTAACTATACCACATCACTTACACATAACGAAATGAACAAAATTGTTGTGAGTATTCGATGCATTAACAAATTGTTTTAATATCATACAAATAAACTGAAAATTACATTTTAAGGGGAGGAAACGGGTCCACAAGCTTACCCATAAGGCGCAGACATCTTTAAAACCCCGCTGTCCAATCGCACGAACGATAAGTTGCGAGTGTTGGCACCGACCAATCACAGAGTACCTTTTGTGTATGTTAGGCGAAAAAGGCTGCAAGCTGTGGTTTGCAAGGAATTACAAAGGGCCTGCACAAATATTCGAAATTCGGGGACGTTGAGTTATTCAGTGATGCAGTACTAAGAGCAGGTAATAGTTTATAATCTAGAGAAAAAACTGATCACAATGAAGTGTATCGAAAGTCTTCTGATCACGTGTAAGCATGAGCTTGATTTGCGAGGCCCACTGTTCCCGTAGGCAAGTGAACTTCACTCACCATTGCTACTTACTAATGCAATGCCACTATGAATCATGGCTGACGAGGTCATTTTCAACGAGTCCAAAAATGATCAGAAAGTTAAACACAGTTAATTATATTGGTCATGAAAATACCAGTTGGTCATTTGAAAAATAATCCAATAATTTTTTTCTCAAAGACAGATTTGTTCAAATATAGGTTATAAACTCGAAGACAACAATTATTTAGAATGTAATAAGGTGTTTTTCTTTTAATTTGTGTACTTGTAATAGAATAAGGAAAATTACTGAAGCAGTAACTAAATTTTGTGAAAGTCTCTGATGTTAAATATGACGTTGAAAAAAAAAATGCAAAATGAAATGTGTACTGTTAAATGAAAAATACATCATAATTATAACTTCTGTGTATTATAACTATATATAAAGAAAATTGCACTGTTTTACTCGGAGTGATTATTGGCAAATGGTATTGGTGAACACTTTCTAGAAGAGATTGTTGATCTATTGTTTTTTTTATTAGACAGTTTTCATGCACACACAATGATCAAAATGCCAGATTTGACACGAGTCTTGCAATAAAATGCCTTTTATGTGTTGAATAAAATATACTGTTAATAAATGTCTTATTTTACTAGGTCCTTTACAGCATTCATTTTTTCCTTTAATTTTTAGCAAAGATTTATATTATGTACAGAATATTAGACAGTCTAACATAGTAATCTGTTGTACTGTCATATGACGTATGTTAATTTTTATGTTAATAGGAACATAACTGATGCAATCTTAGATTTGGGAATGATAAACTCCATGACTTGAGACTATATTTTGTCATATAAAACACGAGGTAGAATTTGGCCTCTAAGCATACTACGTAGTCTTGTTTTCTATTAGTATTATTTGACTTTTGAAATGGTGTTAATTTAAGATTTTTTGATAATTTATCGTGTCTAATAGCCCTACTCACATTGTTATGATTTTTTATGCTGTTTGTTTTAGCCTAATCACTCTATAAAATTCCTAACAAACAAAGAGCATAAATAAAAATCATGAGTAGTCAAAAAAAGAGGAATGCTTTACATTTTGTGTGTGCATAATAAATGTTAAGTCATTGGTGCTGTCTTTGCTGCTTACCGCCACAACCATTAATTGTTGAACATTTTTTTAAAATGAAATTTTGATCTGTGTCTAAAGGCAAATGTGTTAAGCTTCCTTAAATCTTCTCTTTTCAGGTTATAAAGAAACAGAAGTAAGAGTTCTATTGTAGCAGAATACGAACTGGAAATGGAGCAGGTCTCAAGCCCATATTTGTAAGTATAAAACCCTAAGTTAAAGGGTTAAATTGTATTTAAGTGCCTATTCTTAGAAACACTTATACATCAGTACATCATCACAGTCTTCCTGTCTGCTTTGAGTTTTATTCATGTAGTCATAATTAAATTTTCTATGTGTTAGTATTATACTTTTAATTATATTATACATAATATTTAAGATATCAAACTGTTAACAGTAGTTAAGGTAATTACTGAGGGGAAAATGTATTTTTGAGTAACAATTTTGTAGAACATTCATACTGAGTGGTACAAACAAAATTAAAAAGCAGGCTACTTTATAGTTATATTCTATGCAGTAAAAGCACCAAAAATGCTACATAGAAATATATATTTTTGTGATTAAAAAATTGTGCATCAGAAAGTTTGATAACTTTTGCCCATTGAAAAGATAGAGTCATTACCGTAGTTTGTATCTGCCACCCTGAATTTCAAATGGTACTAGGAATGTGCCTGTGTTATCAGCATGCACCTGCCATTTTTGGGAATAACAGAAGTATACTGGTAGAAGAGAGAGAATGTTCCACTAGTAACCTCTGAAACTGGGCTTTTGCTTATGAAAAAAGTCTGTTATTTTGTTCTGAAGGGGTTCAACAGAGAAACCCATCTGTATTGCATAATTAGATCAATTTAGTAATTATGTTTCCAGGGTGCCACCATCCACTGCGTGTCATTTGAGTAATTTTAGGAAAATTAATTTGGTCAATTAGTGCAGTCTTCTAGCAATCAGTGTCTGAATCAGAACACACATGAAGCAAATCAAAATGTTGCTCAGTGGGCAAAATTTTCTGTAATATCTGGGTAATGAAAACCCTTTCCCATCACTGTAAATGCCAGTTATATTCCATCACAAAGTACCTATTTCAAAGGCCGTAACAAGATTTTACAATTTACTCTACATGACCAGAGCCAATTAGTGGCTACTATAAAAGGGGTTTTATTTCTGGTTGCTAGGTAATGAAGGGTAGATAAGGTCTGCTATTGATTACTAATCCATAAACCAGTGCACAAGAAAAGAAAGAAAAAAAAATAAAGAAGAATTTTTTTTTTGGCAAGACACAGTTGCAATGTTTTATGTTATGTACTTAATTACTTATAGAACATGTTTATTTTCTATAGTTGATTTCTAGTTTTGTGTCCTCATGTTAATTTTTGCAGTCAGTAATTTTAAAACTATCCATAACACTTAGGCACTACAAGTATAGTCTATCAGTGTTTTTGCAATGGCTTCCTTTTTGTGATTTCTTTGTGATTGATTTAAGGGAAAAAAGGGAGACATTAAGCTTCTATATTAATTTATATCCACATCTATTCTCTAAATAGTTTGTTGCTTGGTGGCTCTGCTTGCTGACTTTTAGAAGTAAATGAATTTCTTATTTTCCATATAGCCAAAACTTCACTGTCAAACAGGAGCCAATGTGGGACGAAGTTCAGATTCCACCAATACAGTTCCCCCCTGCTGCCCCCTCAAAGAAAAAACCTGGCAGGAAAAGAAAAGTGAAGGAAGAACCTGTAGAAAAGTAAGCATTCTTGGCTTTCAGTTCTTTGAAAATGTTCAATATGAAGAGCAGATTTTTAAAATTAATGATTTTTGCTTTAGTCAGAACTCAAACCATTAATAGTTTGACAGTAGGTTTAGATATTTTTCATTTTCGTAAACCAAAGTAGGTTGTATAAAACATTGTAAGAAAATGGTGGATTTTTATTTTCAGCGGTGAGTCTGTAACAGTAGATGGTAAAGTGGTCAAGGTGAAACAGGAGAAAATCACAGAACACTTGAAGGTCAGAAAGAAGTATGACAGGTTTAAGGGGATGACAGAAGAGGAAGTGTTACAGAGGACACTGCCTGACCACTTGACCCATGGACTGGACATTGTCATTGTAAGGAGAAGAAAATAATTTCCATTGATTTGATATCTAGTATGAAAAAACATTCAGAAAAATAAAATTTGACACTTTACAGATAAGGTCTAGAAATTAAGGATTTGGATGTTTTGCATCTTTAGAGTAAAAGATGAAACAGTTTGCTCATTATTTGCAAAAATATTTTTTAAGTGTCTGTGTGTGTGTGTGTGCATTGGAAATGTGGATTGAAATCCAGCATTTTTGCCAATAGAGCTGTCTATTTTTGAGGTCACTTTCTGTTGAGTTCTTTGTTAATATATTTCAGGTTGGTATAAACCCCGGCCTCACTGCAGCTTTTGTGGGACACCACTATGCAGGACCAGGCAACCACTTCTGTAAGTGTGGATTAGGAAAGAGTACTTGTTTTTAAACTTTTTTTCATTTAAAAAAACAACCAACCCCAAACATGAGAACAATCTCTATGATATGTCCAAAAGTATAAAGCACTAGTTTTTTTCCTTTATTTCCCAAATTCATTACAAAATTTTACCTAAAAAGTAATGATAAGGCAGACAAGGTTGTTATTTCCCAAATTTATGAACGTGCCTATATATCATGTCTTTTTCTTTACAGGGAAATGCTTATTCCTGTCTGAATTGATCCCAGAACAGCTGAATGCTTATGATGACTATAAGCTGAAAGAATTTGGAATTGGATTCACAAATATCGTGGAAAGAACATCTCGAGGAAGTGCAGATCTCACAAAGTAAGCAGTAACCAGGCATGAGAATTCCATGATTTTTTAATTCAGTTTTGTTGGGACCTCACACTGCCGTGGACTCCCAGCTGATTAAATATTTGATCCATGATGAATTTTCAGGGAGTCTTTCCTAAACCAAGGCTTGTGTCTGAGTAGCAAACTCAATGTTCAAACCTTAAAAAAATGAAGTGTTTCTGCATTTTTGATTTTCTAAATTGTAGGAGATTAAGAAACAGAAGAAACAGAAAAAAAAATCACTGTGTGGTAATTACTGATTCAGAATTGATTCTCAGAATGATATAGTTATTTATTTCTGGATGATTTACACTGAATAAAGCTCTCTCATGTCCTTTGTAAATTCAGGAAAGAAATCAAGGAAGGTGGAGAAATTCTAAAAGGAAAAATACAGAAATACAAACCAAAGATAGCAGTTTTTAATGGGAAAGGTAAGCATGAACTGTACTAACAAGACAATGCCATTCCCTTTTTATACTGTTTAATGATTGTGGTTTTGTGTAGAAGCTTTAGAATTGATCAGGAGATTCAGGAATGGAAAATCAATCACTTACATTTCTTCTAACCAAACTGTCACATTGAATAGGAGTACTGCTATTTACCAATATATCTATTTTAATACCAGTTGTCAAATTCAAATTTAGCTTCAGAGAAGCAATTTCACTTTTGTGTTACATACTTTTATATTAGTTAAGTAAACCAGGAACACTAATCTTGTAAATATAATTATAATTACTTGAAATATGTTCTGGTTTTGTTTTCTCAGGCATATACGAAGTGTTTGTTGGTCACAAGAACTTCCACATTGGAAAACAACCGGACCATTTTCCTGACTGTCCTGACACGGTGAGTCACAATCTGGAGAGAGTCCTTGTTAATTAATTGGTTTTACTTTCAAATAAACCCTCCAGTTTGATCTCTTTTGACAAATGATTATATAAATTCCAATATTATAAACAAATTTTAAAATTTTGAAATGTAATTGATTTTTGGACCAAAAGTGGCTTGTGCATTCATGTCTGTCAGTCATAATACCATCTTGTGATCCTCTTGTGAACATCATTCCTCAAAGACCAGGCAATTGAAATGGAAAAATAAATGGGACCTTTTCTAACTTTTGCATGTATTGTTCCAGGCAATCTTTGTGATGCCTTCCTCCAGTGCACGGTTTACCCAGCTTCCAAGGGCCGTTGACAAAGTGCCATTTTACCAAGCATTGAAAAAATACAGAGACTACCTCAGAGGTGACATAAGCCATATAGAGGAATCAGAGATCTGTTTTCCTAACCTTGACCTCAAGGTGAAGGTCAAGAAGGAACCTGACACAGATCCAAATGGTCAGAGTCTCCCCAAGGCTCCAGCTGAACCCAAACAGAAGAAGCCTAGAGCGAGAAAAAAGATAAAAAAAGAGCCTAAAGAAGTTGGAGGTGACTCAAATATGATGCCTAACTGTATGAATTTCCAGCAGTTTCAGGTTCCTAATGGCCAGGGCAGTACAATGGCTGTACAGCATGGTGCGTCTTCATCTCTACCCGATTTCAGCAGGGCAGTTCTTCAGGTTAAGTCTGAGCCATATGACCCCTTCTTGGCGTCTTTCAACCAGTCTGTTCAAAATTGCCCAACTACACAACAGAGCTTTCAGGCCCATTTCGGCTCCCAACAACAGCAACATTTGCAGCAATTTCATCATTCTCAGCAACAGCATTTGCAACATTTTCCACAGCAACAACAGCATCTACCTCAGCACAATAGTCAACAGCCCCAGGGTCAACCCCAGGGTTTACTGCCCCAGGGGCCAGACCCATCCCAGAGATTACAACATTTCAATGATTCTCACCAAAATTATCAGAATTC